CTGACTCCAAAGGAGGAGGGACAATAAGTTGATTAGGTTTACTGGAGAATGAGACAAAAGCCTTGGAGGGAGGCTTTGGACGAGACATCTGTTGAAATAAGAAACAATGATTAGCAACCAGAAAGAAGATCTAAATAATCTTGGTGATGATATAAACAATTGTAGTTGTGAGCAAGTAAATTGCGGCGAGCTTGAATCTGTTGGTAATTGATGTATTGAGCTCTTTTGGTAGTTGGTCGAGCTAATTTGAGGCGGTGAATGCGATGAGTAAGTTGTTTAATGAGGGTTTTGAAATAGGTAATTCGGGATTTATGGTAAGCAGTAAATGGTGTAGTCATCCCTTACCCCCCTGTAAAAATTCCCGGGTAAGAAAATCAGGTAGGGAATTTTGACAACCAGGTATATAGGTAATATCAAAATCAAAAATACTTAAAATAGCTTGCCAACGGGCAAAAATTTGCTTACTAGCAAGATTTTGAACATCTTTTTCTAAAATAAATTTGGCAGATTTGCAATCAACACGAAGTAAGAATTTTTGATTTAAAACATCATCTTGAAATTTTTGAATACATAAAACAGTAGATAAAATTTCTTTTTTAATAGTACTATAATTAAATTGTGCTTTATTCCAGACACCAGAATGATAGCGAACAATTTGTTCAGATGATTGAGGAGTAAGTTGCTGAAGGAGAATGCCACCATAACCAATATCGGAGGCATCAGTTTGAATAATTTTGAAGGAATTTTCAGTAGGAATACCAAGACAAGGAAGGGACTTGACATATTGTTTGACCTTTTGGACAATAGAAGTATGAACAGAAGACCAAGGAGGAGGATTATCCTTTAACCTATCAAATAGAGGTTGACAAGTTTTCCTAAGGTCTTTACAGTTGAGGGGCTAACTGGATCATGTCTGCTTTGGATGATTGGGCTTTACTTTTGGATTTAGTGTCCTTTATAATTCCAGAAATGTAATTGAGGGATCCTAAGAAACTTTGTAATTGAGTTTTATCAAAGAATCTTTCATCACGAAATTGGATGCAAATTCAATGGTCGACTAAGATGGGTAGGATTAGTATTATGATGAATGTCCATATCTAAAAAGCGAACATTTTGTTTGAAATTAATTCTAATTTTAGGGAGCAAAATAGACAGACATGGACTTTTAATATGTGTACAAAGAATACAGTTAAATGTTCCAAATGTTCACTAATTGACTTGAAAAGACTTAAGATGTCTAATGTAAAAATTGGAAAATTTGACTAAGTTGGGTAATATGTCATTATAATATGTTGAATTACTAGGAGATTTTTAAACAAATGGCATGACATTCTATTCCATATTGACACAAAGGGTGTGTTAAATTCGCAGTTTTATATCTTTTAGGATGAATTTGGATTTGCCAAAATAGGAATAGGATACCGAATCCATTCTAAAACATCATTCAAAGGTTTATAATTGATAACTAGGCGAGGAACACCTCGTTCTAATTCAGCATTTTTATTAACATAAAAAGCAGAGCAAGACCAGGGTGATTTACTTGGACTAATGATTCGATGTTGTAGTAAATCATTAATTTCTTTTTTGCACATTTCAAGTAATTCATGATTCATTTGAATTGGTCTAGATTTAGTAGGGATATGTCTTTCATCAAAATTTTTAATATATGGTAAGGTAACTACATGTTTTTTCCTATGCCAAAATGCAGTAGGTAAAGTGGAGCATACAGTTGATTCAAGTTTTAATTTAAAATCATTGATTTGAGAAATAAGAATTGGATTAGTTAATTGTTGGTCAATGCGTTTGTGATTTATTTCGTCTTTAAGAAATTTTAAATGTCGAGTCAGGCGGCTAATTTGATGAGAAATAGAACAATCTTTTAATTGGTTTAAGTGTAATAGTTCAGGAGGAGATAAAAATTTGAACGTAACAGGTTGTCCTAAAACATGCGTAGTTATTCCGGTACTAGATGTAGTAAAAGGATATAATAAATAGATAAATGGAGATCCTAAAATAATTTTATCAGTCATATTGATAACTAGAACAAAAGAGGTTTTAAAACATACATTGTCTTGGCAAACATGTACTTTTGGTAATTTATATTTGATATGCATTTTAGTACCATTAGCAGAAGTTAAGTTTTCTTGACATTTTTCATAATATGTAGTAGGAAGTAAACCTTCTTGTATACAATTTAAATCAGCACCAGTATCGATTAAGGCAATTAATTCTAATTCAAAATTATTAACAATTATTTTGATTTTAGAATACCACTTTTGAATGTAAAGTTTATTAATTAGACTTAATCGTTTTTCTTCAGGATTGTTGGAGTGAGAATGGTGTGATCGGTTGTCAAATATCGAATTATCAGGATGAGCAGGATCAGATTCATGTTCAGATTCATGTGAAGATTCTTGATCATTATTTTGGAAATTATCTAAGCTTTTGTTAAGTTTTAACGAAATAATTTCATCTTCTAATTTGATAGTTTTTTGTTGTAATTCCTTAATTGTTTGTTTAATCTGATTGATTTCTTGTTGTAAATCTTGGAGTGTAACTTCTTTTTGTTTATTTTTAAACCGTTCTAAAGTTTTGGATAGACTGATTATTGGTTTATCAAACTTTGGTTTGGAATCGGAATGGATTAATAAGGATTTTAATTTATCCGTATATTTTTGTTTTAACTTGGGATCATCTAATTTACTAATTAATTCGATTAGAGCAGATTCTTCTTGAGTACTTTTGGTGAGAACAGTAATTTGTTTAATAGGTTTGCAACAAACATCATTACAGCCAATATTAATATTGTTATCAGAATCATTGCTAGGTGAATGGTATTCGGATGAAGTATCAAGATGAGGATGATCAGAAGAAGAACTACTAATAGTTTGATTTAATTGAAAGATTTCAAATAATTGATGTTTGGAATTATCATCAATTTGAAGTTGATTTACTTTATCTTTTAATTTTTGTTTTTCTTTACATTTATTTGAATAATGACCTTTTTGACCACAATTATAACAAGTAACATCTTTAGTAGAGTTAGATTTTGGATGGGATTTTGACTTATAGTATTTTTTCTTTTTGGGTTGAGTATAGAATTTATCATTAGATTTGGAAGGTATATAGTTCTTCTTATATTTATATGTATTGGAATGTTTAGAGGATGATTTATGTTTGGAGTATTTGTGTGATTTCCTACGAGAGGGTGCAACAGGAGGTAAACCATATTGTTCACAGAAATTTCCTAATTCGTACTTAGCCTTATGTTTATCTTTATTAGCTTTTTGAGTAAGTTTGAGGTCAATACACATCTTTAAACCTTCTTTTTGAATAGTGCTAATTATATCACTATACGTGAGATTATCATATTCAATAACACCAGTGGGTTGACTAAGAACATCTCTAATTTTATGGGCAAATAAACTAGGTAATCCATTAATAAATTTTTCTTTCCAAAATGATTTAGTACAGTCTTCTCTTAACATGACGCGAGAGGTAAATACATCTTTATACCATCTAAAATCACTTAAGGTTGGACAGTTGAGATTACTTAACTGATCATGGATGCGAGAATAAATATTGGTAGGGGTACCAATAAAGTGCCGAACGATTGTATATATTAATTGATTAATTCCATCAGGGTGACAACATCCTATAGATTCATCAAAAAGAGGGAGACCATTGTCATCAGTTTGATTGGCATAAATAACAGAGTCACGGTCGGTTTCAGTGAGATATTTTTCCCACCAAGATTTGAGCATACCAGTAAAACCAGAGGTAAGTAAGGAAACAATTTCAGGTTGAGAGTATTGGGGATAATTACTGAGATAACTATTGGCGACCATAGATAAATGGTTTAATTTTTGAAGGATTTGATTTTCACTGAGACCATCAATATTCCATTCATATAACCTTTTAGTAGAAACAGAAAATTGATTACTAATATTAGTTTCTTCAAATTGGAGATCAGGAGGAGTAGGCCGAGAATACCAGTTTTTGGTAGTTTGAGGATTAACTTTAGGATAATAAATTTTTTTAAGAGTAGAAGGTTGAAACTGTTGGGCTAATTGATTGATTTCATTATCAGTAGTATCAGTTTCAGAGTGATCAGATACAGGACTAGTAATAGGTTGTTGATTCAAAACAGAAAGACCTTTATCGTTAGATGTAGAAGTATCATTGGGAATTAATTTAGTAAATAATTGTTCAATGGCTTTGACGGTAGATTGGTCATTAGTAACTAGACTTGTTCGTTTAGAACGATGGCTAGGAAGATTTAGTAAAGGTTGATCTAAAGGTTTGGTGGATTTTATGGATTGTTCAACTAAATTAATTTCTAATTTATCTAATTGTTTACCAATTGTTTTTAAACATTGATTAGTATAATTATTTTGTTCAATAACTTTTTTGATTTCAGGATCAGTGCCAGGTAGTTTAAAAGGCGAGGCTGGGACTTCAGAACCTTGGTGATCAATAATGATATTTTCTAATGGAGGATGATTAGAGCTAACAGAAGTATTAGGAGAAGTTTTCCACTTATGTTTGGTGATTGTATTAATCTTTTTGTAATATTGATCCATATAATCAAAGAAAGATAATTCAAAACCATATTGAACCACAAAATCATACCATTTTCTAGTTATTCGAGATTGTTGAGCAGAACCATATTTAGCACGGTAAGCATGTCTTTTAGTCCTATTTTCTTTGGATCTAAAGTCAATAAGTAATTTATCTAAATCGGGAGTAAAATCTTTCTTAATTGTCATTAATTGAGGATTGACAGGTGATATAAATTCTTCGAAATCAGTTTGAGTTGGAGAATTATTTGAAGCTATTTCTTCTTCGAGTGGTATAAATTCTTCGAAATCAATAATACACCCACAACATATGCCCTTAGCACTATCGTCCATTCATCATATATTAATTTATTATTATTATTTTTTAATTTGCATATATACATATATATATATATATATTTTTACTATCCATTCGGCCCAACCCCACAAAAGTGTCTCACTTCCATTTTCACACACAGTGAAAACCCGGCATGTGTTTTTTTTTTTCGTTTTGTTGCGAATCTTCTAATCCACTGACTCGCTGATGAGAAACCAAACTCGCAAAAATTCCCAGAGGTAACTTTTTCAATCTAGACAAGCTGGGTCTTTCACACATCTTTACATATTCATAATTATATAGTAAGAGATTCTATGCGTATATTTTGGTTTCAGGCAACCCATAAACCTACAGTCAAATGTTCAATTCTTGAGAATTCCATTGTTGAGAAAAATCCTAATTTGTGGGTTCAATTTGGTTTTGTTGTATGTTCAAAGCTTCATATACATTTTGCAAGAGAAGAAGTAGAGATATTGAGAGTTGAGATTGGTTATGTTATATGGTGCAACAAGTATGTGTATATATAAGGTGCTATGTTTAGGCTTAGGGTTTTGAAACTCCTTTTCTTGATGTTGGGGGTCAAATGGTTGTAACCATGGCTTCTCTGGCTTCCCTGGTGAGTTTGGGAAGTGCGGGTGCGAGTTCATCTGGGAATTTCGAAAGATCATTTTCAATGGTTCAGAGAGTTTATTTTTCTAGAAATGTTCATAGTTTTCACGGAATTTTGGTTAAAAAGAGATGGGGGTATGTGGGGGTCTGTAGATATTCGGTAACAACCAATTATATAGCTGATCAAGGGACTTGTGCATTGCTTGATTCAACATTTAGGGGCAGGAAAGGTGATAATTCTAATATTGTTCTCAAGGCGGCTCCGAAGGCAGTATTGAAATCCGGGTCTAAAGCCAAATCCCCTTTAAACATTAACTCAGTGCCTTGGGACCCTTCAAAATTTAGTGGGGATTCTGATGATGATGAAGAGAGAAATAAGGTGATTGAGTCATTGGGAGAGGGATTAGAAAAGGCAGAGAAATTTGAAACTAGTAAAAGAGTGAGTGTATCAGTTAGTAAACCGTTGACAAATACAAGTACCAACCGAAGAAGTGGAAAACAAGTTAATTCAATAGATGGTCGGAAGTCCAAGAATGCGAAGAGTGTGTGGAGGAGAGGGAATCCGGTGGTTAGCATAAAAAAAGATGTTAAGGAGTCTCCTAAAATTGAGAAGGTTCAGAAACAGGAATCAAGGGTAGAGGGAGTGGGTAAGGTTCAGTCTCAGGTTGTTTCTCCTCTAAGACCACCTCAACCACCGGAAAAGGTTCAACCAAAATTACAAGCAAAACACTTTGTAGCTCCACCACCTGTGGTCAAGAAACCTACTACTATCTTGAAAGATGTTGGGGTGTCTCCGAAGACAACAACAACTGATGGAGCTGATTCTGCTGAAAAAACGAAAGTTCACAAACCAATATTGGTTGACAAATTTGCATCAAAGAAGCCTGTTATTGATCATTTGATTGCTGAAGCAGTATTAGCACCTTCGAAACCTGGAAAAGGTATTGTCCCTGGAAAGTTTAAAGATGAGTTTCGGAAGAAAAGTGGTCCATCTGGTGGGCCACGGAGGCATATGGCTGATAATGTTGAGATTCATGATGAGGAGGCCTCAGAACTCGATGTTTCGATTCGGGGTGCTACCACAGCACGAAAGGGAAGGAAATGGAGTAAGGCAAGTCGGAAGGCAGCTAGACTCCAGGCTGCTAAAATTGCTGCTCCTATTAAAGTAGAAATTTTGGAGGTTGGTGAAAAAGGTATGTTGACTGAGGAGTTAGCCTACAATTTGGCTATCAGTGAAGGTGAAATTCTTGGGTATCTATACTCCAAGAAGGGGATAAAACCTGATGGGGTGCAAACGCTTGACAAAGACATGGTGAAGATGATTTGTAAAGAGTATGAGGTGGAAGTCATAGATGCTGCCCCCACTAGAGTGGAGGAAATGGCGAGAAAGAAGGAAATTATCGATGAAGATGACCTGAAAGGTCTGGAAGACAGGCCTCCCGTCCTTACTATAATGGGTCATGTGGACCATGGGAAGGTAAGGAAAAGCATGTCTTTGTTCACTTTCTTTTCTAGTCCATCTTTGATCTTTTCCTTATTACTGCCCATTTTTCGAAAGCAAAAGATATTTATTGAATTTTCTGAAGCCAGCTTTGGCTAATTTCTTGTTGTTGTCAACTGGGCAGACAACGCTACTGGATTATATACGGAAGAGCAAGGTACATTCAGAAGCTTAATTGTCTTGATGTTTTATTTCAATTCATTAGCAACTGATGCCCAGAGTCGATTTTAGGGTTGCAAGAATATGGTCATGTTTGGTTTAATTAGAATATGTTTTAATTTTTTTTTTTTCTAAAAAACTAAAAATTGTTTTCTTGAAAAAAATTAAAAACCTTAGGTAGCGTTTGGTAGAGCTTTCTAAATATGATTTGAGAATATGAATTGTATTTTGAATTTGTGAGTTTTGGAATTATGATTTGAGTG